CCAGTTCCAATGTCTAAATTTCTCCAAATCAACTTTTGTACCCATTTTCTAGTATAATATCCTCCACCTCTACTACAAACAGACAAGAGGTTCTTTCTAACGGGGTGTTGGAGCAGGATCTTGTGGCCATTAGTGGTATAACATGTTCTATATTGTTCTATAACTACAGTATATCTTCTTTTGACTGCCAACTTTTTCCTCTAAATGCAACTAAAACACATTTTCTTTATGGTGACACTTCTGCTTAAGTGCAAATCCTATTCATTTCAATGTAGAGTTGAATTCTGACATTAAAATATGAAATAAGGCCCTGGATAAAGCGGAAGAAAATTGTCAGATGTAAGTAGATTGATTTAGCTTAAAATATTTAATGTTCATGTACAACAAAAAGTGAACACTGCTCCGATTCTTTGTGAGATTGTAAATTACTTTGTAGTCCATATAGAATGTATTTGCTGTTCAAATCATTCAGAACAAAATAAATAACTTCTTGTACCTGAGATAAATAATAGTTTGGAGCTTTGATTGTTGATTCTGAAAATATCTGCGGTTTCTCAGTCCTTTATGTTTTTTTTTTTCTTTTTTACTTGTAAGCAGCTATTTAAATTTTATTTTTTTTGGACCCCATGTCTCTGATTGGTTAATCCATAGACCTGACAAGATAACAAATTTTCAAGTATATCGTTACAGAGACACATCATGATAAACAATAATACTAAACTACTTTATGTCAACAGACACAAAGCAAGATAATTCCAGTAAAGTAGTTTTTAAAAATACAGCATCATTAAGCCTGAGCTACAAATAATTAGCAGAATAAACCAATAATGAGCCATAAAAGTTAATTCTTCTACCCTCTACGACTTAAATCTTATCTAATTATAAAGAAATGGCAAAAATCTCATCACGATTGCAAAGAAAATGTATGCACGATAAATACTTAGCCCCAAAATACGTATATTGTTCCAGATATATTGAAACATAAATCCATAGTAATTATAGGGACTATTAATACATCTGTCAATCACGGCCTCAAAAATCAAGGAGACAGGATGCAGCTCCAGAGTTTTGTCAAAATACATGTAGGAGTTATCAATTTTGACACAATACATACATTGGCAAACACGGTAAAAAAAAAGTTTTAAAAGTCTGAAAACAAAAAAAAAACACTAGAACTAAATGGATTTGAACAACACGACATTTCCAGGAGCCTGTGATCAATAAGTGCGTTCATGGTCCCGTTTGGGAGAAATAGTGAGTATGAGTAACAGGAAAATTATTGGCTTTTGCTAGACTGTAATTTTACGTGTAATAGACTGGTTTAACAGGACAAATCAGCTTATGTGTTGTAGTTCCACCTAAGTCAGATCTTTATGGTCAGATTGTGTTAAAATAAAGCTCAGATTAAAGTCTAATAAAGCCTCAGACAGAGCAGAGCCTACAGTTAGTTGACGTTGACGACCCGGTTACGGCAGTATTCGGGTTATGCTGTTTACATGGGTGCTGAGAAACTGGGATACTCATATTCCTGTGTACATGATCAAATGTAGTATCCCGGTTTCTTGACATAATCTTACAAATGTGCAAGTGCAAAAATTATATGTTCAAATAAACAAGGAAAAAAACAACCATGAGCTCCTTTATCATAGGAAGCTCGGGAGGTTCCTAATCAGCGGTAAGGAGCTGTGATCCTTTCCAAGCACTATTGTACATGTTCTACACTGCAGCAGATTCTTCATTAAAATCTTCTGCATAAATAAACTCAGCTTTACAACATATAAACCATAACCACTATAGAGCCACGTCAGCCCGTTTGATAATATAATTCAGCTTTGCGCACATTTGTTTACGTTTTACAGAAACAAAACTTAAAACCACACGACTCATTTGTGTAAACTATAAGCGCTGAAAAAAAACAGCTCTTTCCTTGTGTACTAATGCAGTTCAGCTTCTGTCAGATTAAAGGACACGACTCAGTGGAATATGTGTGTTTTTTCTGTGATAGAGGGGTGTTCTGCTGATGGTGAGTCTGTTCTGTGCATATATAGTGTTGGAGATGGTTCATATTTAACTTTTCAGAGATCATACGTGTGCAGACTGTGCATGTGCAGGTTTAGTGCAGCTCAGGGTATGGTCACTTTATGTTGGTCAATTTATTTATGTTGGCTACCGTTGTGATGAAAAGACTGGAACATGTTTGTCTTTCGGACGCATGTGCACTCAACTTTATGTTGCAGTAACCGGGATACTGTGTATACCAGCTACAGTATCCCGGTTTCTCATAACCGGGATACTGCCTTATTCAAGATACTGAAACCGGGATACTGCGTGTACATGCACAACGAAACCGGGATAGTCAAAAACCTCAATCATAACCACACTCAAGAAGGAAACTTCTGTAATAAGTTGAATATGATTTCCGTCTCACCTGGCAAAGTGTTGATAAACGCCGTCACTTCCTCCACGCTCCACTGGGACGGCGCCGGTCTGAACGTGGAGGTGACGGCCGGAGCTGACGCCCTCCTCTGGACGCGCTGCTGCACTACGCCGTCTGTCTGCGTGTTGCCGTGGGAGACACTGTTGTTATGGGCGACGGTGTTGTTATGGGAGATGTGGTTGTTGTTGCTGTTGTGGGTGATGCTGTTGTTGCTGTGGGGGGATGTTGTCATGGCAGCAGGCTCCTCCTCTTCCTCCTCGTCTTCTTCGTCCTCCTCTTCCTCTTCTTCTTCTTCTTCTTCAGGTGCGTCGTCTCCATCATCTTCCTCGGCTCCAGCCTCCACCTGCACGAAGTGTGGTCATGGTTAGACCATTTTCACAACAGATAATATAGAATAATGTGTTACACGTCGCTATTCCGATATGCTGCTTTAGACATTGACGTCTAATTGTCACAGCAGCGGCATAAACATTATTTTTTAAGCATTGTGAAATGTAAATCCCTTTTCATAATATTCATCAAAGAGCTGAACTTTTTTTTTGTCTCTCTCACTTTTATAGACAGCAAGAACTCTGTCATTCTAAAATAACTGATCACTAGCTATGAACTCTTAGACCAGACATGTTAAACTCAGGCCCGGGGGCCAAATTTGGCCCTCGACATAATTATATTTGGCCCGCGAAATCATATCAATTATGCATTAGAGCTGGCCCACTGGCTAAAATTGGCTATAGAGATATTATTTATTTAAAATATTGTTATTATTTTATATATCATGCTTGTTCTGGATTCAATGTTTAAGCAAAAACTATTATTAAACATTTATTTTAATAAGAAAAGGTTTAGCATTACATATCTCAAAAGAAGAGAAAACATGCGGATTGAAATTTTTCAATAAATATTTAGTTTGACACACGACTTAGTGCCCTCTGTGAATTTGAGTTTGACACCCCTGATGTAGGCTATCTGCGGAGAACACCATATAGCCTAAATAAATAACTAATCAAGACGCGCCTGGGACTAAAGTAACTCTCAAAAAAAAAGACAAATCAGAATAGCGATACTAAAAAGTGTCTAGAGTCATGTCGTAACACCAGCATGTCTAAATAGAGACATGTTGTAATGACAGGATGTCAGAATAAGCTTCGGACCCCAAAATAATGACACATTTAAGTTCTACCTTATGCCTTTTAGAGTTTTTGTCTCCCTATGCTTTAGCCTGCACAGAACTTAACATATGTCACTGTATTTATACTTCCAAATGTTTCACATGTCGAGGTTGCATTCTCTTAAATAACCACCAGAGGGAGCACACAGTCAGTTAGAGAATTTACCAAAATTTACGACGTTTTAGATCACATCTGTTGAAAAAGAGCCAAGAAATTGAGGTTTAGAGAGAGTTTATCGAGCTGTGTTCACTACTGCCCCCAGTGGTCATCTCGTGTACTGCTCTGAGGTAAAGATAAAATGAACTGGACACTAAATTACACGTGATCCTTCGGTTCAAGAGAAATTTGAGCATTTTTATCTTTCTGCATCAGTACCTCCATGTCCTCCTCTTCTTCTGCTGCGGCCGGAGGAGGTTTCTCTTTCACTTCTTTCTCTTTGCGACCAGCGCTCCACAGATCTTTAGGCTAAAAACAGGAGATTAAAAAGACAAATAAATACATTTGTTTTACCCACATAGTAATCATTATTAGTTCTTATATATATTAGTACTTATAGAGCACATTATTAGTACTTAAATAAAGAGTATTTCACCAGTCTGAGCAGCAGAGGTTTGCCCGGCACAGACTCAGCTCGGTTCAGAACAGGACGAGGTCGATCGGGGCGGCTCCCTGCGCTCAGAGCACGCAGACGCTTCGTCAGACGAACATTAAACCTGAAACACAAACATTAAGATACAAGAAACTTTAAGAAACTCAGTATTAGTCAGGAAAAGACCAAAAAAAAAGGTTTGGGTGCTAGGACATGCCATATCTCTATAATATCTTCCAGGCAGAACAATGACATTTCCATAGAGACAAGGAAGTGGTCAATCCCCCAATTAGAATAGACACATACTGGGACAGCACCGTTATTTTAGCAGTCCACTCTTCTGCCGTACGTATTGACTGTTATTGACTTTTTGTTGACTCGAACTGTTATTTCTATTTGAGATCGACCGATATGGGTTTGTGTATGTGCATGTGTAGGGCCGATTTGGATTATTTTCCTCAAATTATGTCATTTTTATTTACTACAAACTCACCTACAGCCCCTTTTTTTTAACACAAACCTTTCAGAGAGCTGTGTAGTCGCATTTTGTACACTGTATTGAAGTGTTAATATAAAGTACTGTGTGTATTTTTTAGTCTGCAGATTGGCCAAAACAAAATATCATCTGTGCTGGAGATTTAAGGCCAATAGTCAATACACTAAGTCCAAATATTAGTCAAATAAATGGATTTTAAACCATATAAAAGTTTAAATATGGTTTCTAAAGGCTTGTAAGTAAATAAATAAGTTTATATAGTGATTTTCAAAAACATAGGTCAAAAAGTGCTTCACATACAAAACAAGAAACAAAACAACATAAGATACATTCAGGAACATTCAGTCCTAGCAGCTTGTTCAAAAAGAAAAATTTTAGTTGCTTTATAAATACATCTACACTATCTAGAGAGCGTAGGAAAGGAGGCAGTTCATTCCAGAGTTTATGGGAGACAGCTTGAAATAATCTGTCGCCTCATGTTTTAAAACTTGTCTGAGGGACCATTGGCAGGTTTTGACTGGTGGACCTCGGGCTACGGGCGGAGGTGTCTGGCTTTATCAGGTCTGTGATGTAACCAGGAACCATATAGGGCCCTAAAGGTCTAGCCAGGCTGATGCCACGTACTGCGCAATTTCGTTTCTCTCCAGTGACTAGGTCAGGAATTGGAATACACTAGACGGTTTGGAAGAAACCTGGAAGTTGTAGATCGCGCACCGGCCAATCAGCGAAGACCTGAACCAGCCCGAGTTGTGATAACAGACTGCATACCCTATCCTCCTTTGTATTTTCTTTGTCAAATACAAACTGCACCTTTAATTTGCAAGTTCATCTCGTAGAAATGATAATGATCACTGACAAACATGTTCACTCTCTGCTTTGTTTGCTGCTTGTGCCGGCGATTACTTGGACACTACTGAGCGTTCCGACGCATTACATACATCACGACCAAATAGCAGCGATTGGTTAAACAAAAAAAGTATCAAAAGAAACAGAAAACGCACAAGAAAATTCTTGTAGAGGTGCAAATGCAAGGAGCAGCCAGACAAGGGTGAAAAAATGCATAGCACACTCGGTTGGCTGATGTCCAAAAGCTTTTTTATTAACAAAATAACGTTTCGGCAAAAAAAAAAGCCTTCATCAGATATTTTCTTGTCGATATTTTTCAAAACGTTATTTTGTTAATAAAAAAGCTTTTGGACATCGGCCAACCGAGTGTGCTATGCATTTTTTCACCGTCTTTAAACAAAAAAGTACCCATCTACCTTCAAGCGAACAAATTTTAATGCTGCGAGGTCAGACTGTTTCCATGAAGTGAAACCGTCTCATGAATCAGGCTATGAAAGGTCAGCCCCAGGATCTTAAAGTGGACATAAAAAAGAACAGGGAGCCATTGTAAGGATATTAAGATCGGGGTGATATGTGCTCGCCTACTGGTGCGGGTCAGAAGACTTTTGGACCATCTGCAGCCGGTTTCTTCTTGCTCAGACACGTAAACAGACTCTTACAATAGTTTAGTCTCAAATCATCGTGTAGAGAATACAAAATAAGTGTATTATTGATGAAAACAAGAAATACTTTATTCTTTTTGACATGTGTATTTAATAACATTGCTGTTTTTGTCTTTGGCATTTGCAGTTTAGAGTCTGCCGCGTCTAGATTTGGTCAAGATAAAAATACAATGACCAAAATACGACAGTCACGTTTATTCCAAATGAATCATGAGCCTCACAGCAGCAGTTTGGCTTTGCCCGAGTGTGTCTCGCTGCTGCACCATGTGACTCGTGTGGTGTGAAACAGGAAGTGGTGAGTGCGGCCGCTGAAGATGCAGAATCAGGTGTGAAGCAGCAGCGAAAAACCTCTCACAGTCAATTTGGATCAAGAGCCAATGACCCTCGTATCTTTTAAATCACGAAGAATATCCCAAAAAATCCAACTTTACCTGCTTGCTTCCATGGAGATATTACTGTTTTTGCCTTGATTATTCCACAGTATGTAAATAAACTTGACAGGTTAATCAGAACTAAAGAAAAGAAAGTCTGCGCATGGTAAGAATTCATGTTTTTAAGGTATTTTTGAGATATAAAACACTTTTAATTGAACAAATGAAAGGGAGATACGCTTAATACCCTACTGTGGAACATTCCAGGCAAATAAATGACATCTACATGGAGACAAACATGTAGCAGACCCTCCACCGTAGAAGTTACACAGAGCACGTTTTGGGGTGACCAGAATTTCAAAATAAAAAACTGGGACTTCCTTGTTTTGTTGGTGGTTGGTAATAATAAAACTGTGAAACGAGTGCGTAATTAAGGAGAACTGTTACGTAGAGACTATTCATGACTAGGGATGGGCATGATTAGTCGACTAATCATCAAGAATTTCGTTGATTACGTTCATTTTTAATCGACAAACCGAATGTAGGTTGCTGTGCGTAGAGACGAAGCTGCGTCTGACAGCACAAACACTGGAGTTTCGGCCTCACAGTCCCATGTTTGGGCTCCGGCACCTCCTTGGAGACACTGTACCGCCCAGTGAGTGTGTTTACATGCACATCTGTATCCAGGTTTTGTCATAGTGCATGTATACGCAGTATCCCGGTTACTGCAACATGAAGAGCTGCGCTAAACCTGCACACGTACGATCTTTGAAAACATCGCGACATACAGAACAGACTCACCATCATCATCGTCAACACCCCTCTGTCTGACAGAAGCTGACCTTATTAGCGCTGTTTTATGGTTTTTTTCTCCACTTAGTTTATACAAATTAGCCATGCGGTTTTAAGTTTAGTTTCTGTAACACTTGCTCAAAGCTGCATTAAACACATTATATAATCTCAAACGAGCTGATGTGGCTCTACAAGCACACCCTAGAAAAATTATAGTGCAGCTTTATTCGATTGTTTTGGTTTATATGTTTTGGAAAGTTGAGTATATTTATGCAGACTAGTAATAGTAATAATAATGATGGTCATTTTAATATTAAAACGTTAATGATTAATCGAAAATCTATTGTTAATTCTACCTACGATCGACTAATAAAATTTAATCGAATGCCCATCCCTATTCATGACTCACACGTAAGTCAGTATAGTCACATTTTCTTTATGTTTTGGTCATTTTTAAACATCCTTTTCTGTATTTTACCTAAACAAATTGCAAAGTATGTCTCGCTTTACTGTTAGCAGGGATCAAAATGGTGAAAAATAGGGACAACTGGGACATTTCATGTATAAAACTGGGACAAATCACTGGTTTTGGATAAATCTACTGGGACAGGGGACACGGGACTCAAAAATGGGACTGTCCAGAGTAAATAGGGACGTCTGGTCACACTATATCTTTAACAGAGTTTCATGAGTATCTAAAATGGCGGTGTAACACATTAACACAGGCGTGGTTGTAGACATCAGCGTGAGCCGGACTCACCCTCGTGCGCAGGACGTGGAGCAGAAGCGTTTGGACCTCATGAAGTTGTGGGCGTGGCCTCGTTTCCCACAGAACTGACAGTGAAGCACGGCGCGATCCCTCTGAGAAGGTCCTGAAGGAAAGAGAAAGCATGAAACTGTGATCAGAGGTGGACAGTGCTCAAATTTTACTGTTTAAAGAAGTGAACTATGTCACATTTTAGGATGAGGTTTCTCTCTAGTGATTGCTTTTAAATCAGGTCATTCTTTCACATTATTCACTCTAAAAAACTGGATGTGCACCCTCAAATCGCCAGCTGTTCTTAGTAGTTTAAGTAGTTTCCCCATCTATTTATTTATTGTTTATTTGGATAAGAACAGATACAAAAAACTGATGCAGATATCACAGTGTTTATAGCCGAGGTTAATTCTCAATACTATTCCCCAAAGTATTTGTAAGTAAGTTAAAAAAAACATGTATGGTATATATAAAAAACTAAAATAAAGATAAAAAAAATAAATAAACAGAACATAAAATATACAAGGGAACAAAAAATATGTAAATGTAAATTTGATTTGACAGCCCTAAAATCTAAATACACACATGCAAACATTGCATTGAAAAACTCTGTACTACTCATTTATTATAATTTTTTTGTGCATGCTTTTATTTTATTTATGCATTTTTTTCTGCGTGTTTTTATTTCATTTTTATTTGTGCATGTTTTTACTTTGTTATGTTCTTTTTTTGGGTGGGGCGTGTTTTTATTTAATTTATTTACATTTTTTGTGAGTGTTTTAATTTTTTGTGTGCGTGTTTTTATTTTATTTATTAAAATTTTTTGTGCAGGTTTTTATTCTATTTATTTTTTGTGTGTGTTTTTATTTTATTTATTTACATTTTTTTGTACGTGTTATTATTTTATAAATTTTTTGTGCATGTTTTTATTTAATTTATTTTCACTTTTTGAGCATGTTTTTATTTTATTTATTTATTTATTTTTGTGCATGTTTTTATAAAATTTTTTCAGTGCGTGTTTTAATTTATTTAATTTGTTATTTTATTTATTTAGTGTTTTAGTTTTATCTTTTGTTATGTCTTATGTTTTTGTTATTAATGTGCTGCGTTTAAATACCGTCAAAATGATCAAAATTATAAATAAAAAGAATACATAAATACAAAAATAAAGTGAAACGAAAAGCAAACGATCACAACATGTCCGGTAGTTTGCAGCATGTATAATCTTTCTCTCCTTACTCGTGGTGGAGTTGTGGTCGTCCGGCTCTCCCCCGTCCTCCTCCTCTGAGTCTGTCGAGTGCTCGGACTGCTTCCTGGTTTCCGTGGTAACCGGTAACGTCGCAGTCCCATTGGTCCCGTTCACTTCCTGTGGTTTGGGCACCTGATCTGGGACCAGTAAAGACGACCGGTTCACCTGCAAAAACCAAACATGTTTTTACAGATTTATCACTCATTTAATCATACAAACGTTACAATGAATGATCAGGGATTTGAACTTTTTAACTTTTTTAGTCACTTGCAGGTGAAATGTTTCTATAGAGACGTTATCACTGTCCCTGAAATGTTCCGCAGTATGGCCTTTAAGTTAGTGGCACAATGACCACCCTTCTAACAAGTAGCATCCATGTTTCTCAAGATAATCTCCACTAGAAAAGTTACACAATTAACCGTTACATTTTGAAAAATCTAGTTATTTTCAAGATGGTCTCCACCAGAAAAGTTACAGAGTGAACCTTGACATTTTGAGAAGTCTGTAGTTATTCTCAACAGAAAAGTTACATAATTAACCTTTAAATTTTGACAAGTCTATCGTTATTCTCTAGATACTCTCCACTGGAAAAGTTACATAATGAACCTTTTAAATTTCAAGAAGTCATGGTTATTCTCAAGATAAAGTTACATAATGAAGCTTTACATTTTGAGAAGTCTACAATTATTCTCAGTCAAGATACTAATGAAGCTTTAAATTTTGAGATGTCTATAGTTATTTATATATAGATACTCTCCACCAGAAAAGTTACGTAATGAAGCTTTAAATTTTGAGATGTCTATAGTTATTTATATATAGATAGTCTCCACCAGAAAAGTTACATAATGAAGCTTTAAAGTTTGAGAAGTCTAGTTATTCTCTGGATACTCTTCACCAGAAAAGTTACATAATTAACCTTTAAATTTTGACAAGTCTACAATTATTCTCAAGATACTCTCCCCCAGAAAAGTTACAGCGTGAACTTCTACATTTCAAGAAAGTTCAGAAAGTTACAAACTTTAAATTCTGACAAGTTTATAGTTATTCTCAAGATACTCTCCACTGGAAAAGTTACATCATGAAACTTTAAATTTTAAAAAGTTTATAGTTATTCTCAAGATACTCTCCACTAAAAAAGTTACATAATGAAGCTTTAAATTTTGAAAAGTCTACAATTATTCTCAGATACTCTCCGCCAAAAAAGTTACATCATGAAACTTTAAATTTTGAAAAGTCTATGCTTATTCTCAAGATACTCTCTCCCCCGGAAAAGTTACATAATGAAGCTTTAAATTTGGAGAAGTCTATAGTTATTTTCAAGATACTCTCCACTAGAAAAGTTACATAATGAAGCTTTAAATTTTGAAAAGTCTATGCTTATTCTCAAGATACTCTCTACTAAAAAAGTTACATAATGAAACTTTAAATTTTGAGAAGTTTATAGTTATTCTCAAGATACTCTCTCTCCCGGAAAAGTTACATAATGAAGCTTTACATTTTGAGAAGTCTGTAGTTATTTTCAAGATACTCTCCACTAGAAAAGTTACATAATGAAGCTTTAAATTTTGAAAAGTCTATGGTTATTCTCAAGATACTCTCTACTAAAAAAATTACATAATGAAACTTTAAATTTTGAAAAGTCTATGGTTATTCTCATGATACTCTCTCCCCCGGAAAAGTTACATAATGAAGCTTTACATTTTGAGAAGTCTGTAGTTATTTTCAAGATACTCTCCACTAGAAAATTTACATAAATAACCTTTAAATTTCCGCAAGTCTATAGTTATTCTTAAGATAAAGTTACAAAATTAACCTTTAAATTTTGAGAAGTCTATGGTTATTCTCAAGATACTCTCCCCCAGAAAAAATTACATAAATAACCTTGACATTTTGCCAAGTCTATCATTTTTCTCAAGATACTCTACTAGAAAAGTTATATAATGAAGTTACATTTTGAGAAGTCACAGTTGTTCTCAAGAAAAAGTGACTTAACGAAACTTAAAATTTTGAGGAAGTCTATAGCCTATAAATGTCTGATGTTTTAGGATATAAAACTCTGTACTTCAACTTCAACTGACTTCATATGAGTACTTAACATTGTAAAGTGTTTAAAACAATAAGTAAGTCAGTTAAGTTTTTATTTATATAGCACTTTTCACAAACATATGTCACAAAGACGCTTTACAGATCATTATTCATTCACTCTGTACTGGGTGGATGTTAAAACGGTTGTTACTTTATGGTGCCTAATTAAGTCGTTAAGCTGCTAGTGTTGACAATTCGAGCACTAAAATGATCGTAACAAGTCCGGTGTGTCGTAACTTTATTGTGTTTAACATGTTATTGTTATTGAAAATGTGGATTATTATTTGAATATGAACTGAAAGCAATTTAAAAAAGCTAAACTAAACCTATTGTATGTGTGGCGAAAATGTTTTAATTTGGTAAACCGGATGTGTTTTATTGTGAAAGAAACTAGACAGGATGCACAGTGTATTTTAACATCCACGTTGACTTTTCAAGAGTAAACAAATAGAATCAATATTGCTGCTGTGCGTCGTTGTGGAAGCCTTCACTACGTAATACGGTGAAGTTGTACGGACTTAATAACATTGATGAGTTTCGTGATGGATACAACATGCAGACGTACAGTATTTCAGTGAAAGGCGAGCGTCTTTAAAGCCTGGAGAATGAGAAAAAAAAACTATCCAGGATCACAGAAACATGCATGAATGAACCAAAACACAACTCCAGGTGCTGTTGGTGGTTTTCAGATTCGAGAGACTGACTTTGTTGCACTTTGTAGGGATGTAACAATAACCGAAATATCGTGATATCGTATCGTCAGACGTCTCACAAGATATCGAATTATGAAATCCTTTACTTAAATGCAACAGCTTATAAACATTGAGAACTACACATCCCATGATTCATTTCAGCACAGACAACATGAAGAAATATGTTTTTTTAACTGAATTCTTGAGATTATGACATTAGGGTCCGGTCAAGCAGAAGTAAACAGCAAGGCCAAATATTCAAGTTAATGCATCTGATATAAAAATGTATTGAACAGATACATATGTGCTCTAGTTTATGAAACTGTTGACCTTTTTTCTGTACCATTTTTGGTCCTAAAGTTACATATGTTTTAAACAGACCATATATGAAACATGGAACAAAAATCATTTCCCAAATTTCACAAACCTGCAAATCATGTAAATAAATGGATGTATTTCATCATATCTTGTGTTATTCGATCTTTGAACTGTTGATGAAGGGACATGATTATTTATTTTTTTTTATGTATTTAAAATGATTAAAATTTGCTTGGAAGGACTGACATATTTTATAGAAATAATTACCTTTCATTTTGAAGTAATATTAAAGTATTCGGAAGAAAAAAGTTGACAAATTATGTAAAATCATGCACCTTCTACTTGTTTGCACAATTTTCCCTCCGTTACTTTTTCCTCCGTTACCATGACCTTTCTTAATAAAAAATCTCATTACTCAAAAAGTAAGAGGTTTTTCGACCTAATCTTGTACCATATGGTAGAAAACTATATGAAGCAAATATTCAAACCAGTTTGTTAAGGATATGTAAGTGAGAACCAAGAGTTATCACTGTTTGTATTTATTGCCCAAAAAGTGCTGCATATTTCATTCTCCTCTGTTACCGACATGAATTTAAAATTTTTTTGTCAACAACTTGAAAGAATATCACAGGTTTAACTTGACCCTGTTGGAGTGTAACTCTTTCCTACATTCTGATACTTTACTTATTTCAATAGTCCCTCTAGTTTCTGAATAAGAGACATTTGAATGTAAAAAATCTGCCCCTGTTTCCCTCCGTTACCACTTGACTGGACCCAATAATAATTCACACCAAAGTCTTGTCAGGGTATTCTAAGCGCAAAAAGGCGCCCTATCTACTATTATATCAGCCAAAATATTGTATTGTATTGTATTGTGAGATGCATATCGTGATAATATCGTACAGAGAGATTTTTGATATTGTTACATCCCTAGTAATTTGTCGTGAAATATCTAAAAGTTAAATGCACAAATGTTGGATCTGATCATTTCTATTAGTGATTAGACCCAAGAACTCACTGTGTTACAACAAAAAGCTGCCTCATTTTTATTAAAGTGCCCACATTACGCTGTTTTCTGTTATAATGCCGTTTTCTCGTCAAAAACAGACCTGGAGCTGGTTTTGTTTCATTCACACATGTTTAACAGACAAACCCTGCTGCGTATTTAGGTGTTAAGAGTTCTTCGCTCAGACAAAAAATATTCCGTTCTACCTTGTGAAGTCATGTGGTAATACAAGAGGTGTTCCACTGTGTTTTTTAAACTCCAAACACCTTCAAAATAGAATCATTTGGATCATTTCAGCCCTGGAACTGCCAATCTAAAAGGTAAAAGGCATTTGAAAACTAACTCTTGATGTCATTGGCAGATGTAGACAAACTAAGGCTACGTTTATATGACGACGGTCTGAACAGAAGATGCAAAAGTGGCGTCGCGTCTTCACTTTTTATTCCGCGTTTAGAGGAGCGTTTTGAGCATACAGTGACGCAAAAGTGTGTGGAATTTGATTGGGTTTGCATGTATTTAAAGCAACAAGGGCGTCTTTGGACATGCGGAAGTTTTCACGACGCCACACATTTTCATCAGCTCCTCCTTCCACAAAGTCGTCCCACCATCGACTGGTTCTCCAGGTCTTGTTCATATCCGTCTGACTCGCCTGCGACGAACTGGTGCATCCAGAATTTGACAGAGGTGATTGCAGATCCTTCTCTGTTCACTAATAGTGTCTCTGCAGATTCTTACATTTGTTGGGAGCCTCCTGTAAGTTTATTAGAGCTGCCAGAGCTGCCTGAAGGTCCGATGCACGGAAATGATCCGACATATTTGTTTCTGTGTACTGTATGTATGTGACGTAAACGTGTACGTGACCTGAGCAGATCTGACCAGAGTTTTGCGTCTTGGGCAGTGTAGACGGAAACGCTACGGCGAAGCATATTCAACTTTTCCACTCTGGAGGGTGGTTTCAGATTTTTGCATTTTTAAGCCGCCAAAACGCCGTCTCCGTCTAAACAAAAGGCATTTCCGATCAAATATTTTATCAATTTTTACCCGCAAGCACGCCCTAATAATGCAAAGTTACTCAAACATGTGTGAATGTGTGAAACAAAACTCAACTCCAGGTCTGTTTTGATGACGTAACAACATTATAACATGACTTAAAGCTCTCAAGAGTCAGTTTTGCGTAACATAGGACCTTTAAATAATATTGTAGTATTTACAGAATGCCGTGATGTGATCTGAAACCCACCAGGAGGATGGTTTGGATGAGGAAACATTCAAGCATGATTAAAAGTATTATATAATTTAGGACCTTTGCGTCTCTTACTGGAAATGGAGTCAGCCCCTCCTGGATGACGAAGCCCTCCACCAGGTGAGTGAGCACCTGCTGCCCCTCCGGCCACGCCCTCGGCTCCCAGGGACACACCTCTGATTGGTCGAAGCCCTCCGTCTCCTCCCCCTCCTCTTCCCTCTCCTCCTCTGATTGGTGCAGGGGCTCCGGTTCGGTGGGAGTATCGTGGTTCTGGGTGTGGTTTGGTTTATGGTTCAGGCTGAGGTCCGTGGGCCGGTCCGGAGGTTGGGGAGGGGGGAGAGAGGGCTCCGTTGTGGGGGAGATGAAGGGGGAACAGGGAGGAGACTGGGACGACAGACTGGACAGAGCTGGAAGGACAGAAAGAGAGGAGATTCTGAGCAAAACAAAGGTAAAAGATTGATTTTGTAAGCAGAGTTTTTGGATTTTAAAGCACATTTCTACCAACATCCAAAGATATTCATGTGTTAGGCTACATGTCTTTCTCTTTTCTACTGTGACTATTGACTCTTGGATCATTTACTCTCCAATCTCCATGGAAATATTATTGCTTTGCTTTGAATATTCGACAGTATGGCATTAAAAATATCTTAATCTTAATCAGGTTACAGTTACAGGTCTGATCTACGGAGAGACGATTCCACTCACAGTAAGAATCCATGTTTTTCCAGGAACATTTGAGCGATAAAAACACCACAAGAAAATAAGTTGAATGTAAAGAAATAAACGGTTCTGTTTCACTGTGCATATGACTGAAAGGTTTTCATTCCGCACTCACCTCTCTAATTTATGCAATTAATGTCACACTCTCTTTTTTATTTTTAATCTTTAATTTTATGATGATTATTTAGGTTATGATTTGTTTTTATTGTGATTTTAATGTATTTCTTATTCTGTAAAGCACTTTGAATTACTTTGTTTACGAATTGTGCAATACAAATAAACTTGCCTTGCCTTGCCTAAATGCAAGAAGATACATATGTTTAATGCCATACTGAGGAACTTTTTCTGCAAGTTATGGAACCTCCATCAAAAAAATTACTTAGTGCACCTTTACATAAACCTTAAACTTGAAGTCTGTTTATAGTCCGGAAAACAACTTTATATTGATTACGGTTCGATTTAGATTTATTGTCATGGAACAAAATACAACAAAACTTCGACAGAGCAAATCTGCAGCAGTAAAAATGAATAAATATAGACAATTAGCGTCAATTAAAGACCTTTTTCACAACAGCCGGACGTCCTGCCCAGTAAGGTTTGCGGAACTGTCAGTAAATGGTTTTCTGTGGCAAAATGTCTGTGGAAACGTCTTGCTTATTCTCCACCAGCTTCATAAATCTGCCTGCCCTGTCACCAAATCTTCAGCCAACAAGGTCGACAAAGGATAAACATTTGTCCATGAAGAATTTATCCACAACTATCAAGATAAAAAAGACGAAACCTTAAAGGCGAACAACGACAACGCATTAGTGAACTACTCCTGAGCAAAACTAACATTATGGTCATGAATAAAGCATAAATAACAAGTAATTCATTAATAAGTAACTTGTTAATTCAGATTGATTCTAAAATTAAGATTAAAATGGATTTCATGATGTAGTTATTGGCTCTATTCACGCTTATGTCACAAACCAGAAAGACGTTTGGAAAGATGTGATGTGACGACTTCCGGTGTAGTTCTCGACGCTGGGCTCATCGATCCACTGAAGTAAAAATGTGATCAGCGGTAAAATGAAGACTTCAGACGTATGAGCTGTTTGGAATCATCTCGTCTCTTCTAATTGCATGTACCGGTGTGCTCGGAGTTGTGCGTCAATGTCAATGAAATGATGAAAACTGAGGTCTGGCTGTAATTGTTGATGAGTCGAACATAAAGGAACATTACAATGACATGGAGAGAAAGAAAACTGGACCACTTTCTCATTTTTCATCAGACTTATTACAGTGAACAAAGCCCGACAGAAGGTGTAATCGTATCTTTCCAAACGTCTTCCTGGTTTGTGCCGTAAATGTAAATAGAGTGTATTGACACAGACAGATAGATTTGTGCAGAATGCTACAGATGTTCACAGATGTCTCGCATTTGAACCGCACAAATCTCTCTATGTCCAAGTGCTTTTTTCCTTCATTAAGAGAAATCCTTCTGTTTGTATGGCATGCAGTTGGGGACAAAAAAGTCCGTAGATCCCAGGTCCATCAGACTCCTTTCACCATATTTACATCAAGAAATCGATTTTTAATTTTAATTCTAGAATCAGTCTGAGTGAACAAGTTACTCATGTTTTATTCATTACAATAACTTTAGTTTTGCTCAGTTGTTCACTAATGCTTGTCGTTGTTCATCTTTAAAGTGCCCATCTCATGCAAAATAACTCTTTTCACATTGTATCTTCTGCACATAAACAAGCACAATGTGGGTTTTGGAACATCAATTACACAATAGTTATGAAATCTTACTGATTTCTTGGAGGCGTCACAGACCTGGAACTATGAAAGACCTACTATCACTCATCCCCCCGCCCGTCCTGAGAAAGCACAGGCTCCGCCCTCCAAACGTGACGTAGGCTCTGAGTGAGCCGCCCTTCCTCCGCCATCTCAGGGAGGGAGGGGGAGACAGACGTGACCCTGATAGCGGCAGGAATAAACTTTTATTCATCATGGAGATACAGCGCGTTCAGCCGCATGTGTTGGACCTGGAATCGGACGAGGACTTTGAGGTGCACGAAGCTCAAGCACCGCGTCGAAATCAGCTGAACATTACTGATTGGTAAAGTATTAATAAACACTAGTAGATAAACTTATTATATTGTGTTAACTGCAGTATAGAACAATTAGCTTATGCTGTCGCTTTTGTTTAGGTGTTCATGTGGGAATAGTCAGTCAATGCAGGGTGGAGGTGGGGCGGAGGCGGTGGACGGGGGCAGGTGCGAAGTGCTTTCTGCTACGTCAAACGCGTCATAGGTGTAGCTGGCTTTAGTTCGTTGTCACGTGGGAGGGTGGCAGAAATACACTGCAATTTGTTAAAAAAACACTGAATCAATCAAAAAAACACTTTGGCGACATATACAAGGCCCACATGTCACTGTTAGAAGGTAGAAAGCTCTGAAAAGTTGATTTTGCATGAGATAGGCCCTTTAAGTTTTCGTCTTTCTTACCTTGATAGTTGTGGATAAATTCTTCATTGACAGAATGTTTATCCTTTGTGAACCTTGTTGGGTGAAGATTTAGTGATGGGCAGATTTGAAGCTGGTGGAAAATACACGAGACATTTCCATACCACATAGAAAACCATTAAAAGGAAGTTCTGCAAAGCTACAGCGCAGCACTTCTGGTGGTTGTGAAAAAGGTCTCTTAAGTGTTGATTATTTGATTTAGTAACCACACAGAAAATTAATCCAGTCAGCTTCAATACTGAAAGTTGAGAGTGCATTTACCTGATTGGTTGTCTGACTGCACCGAGAGGTTGTCGTCCTGATTGGTCGGATGCAGCTCGCTGAACCTGCTTGGATGGCTCTGATTGGCCGTTACCTCTTGAACGGGGGACGATACCGGAACCGCCGACGGGACCGGGCTCTGGTTGGGTCCCCCTGACAACGCCGTGGTCGCCATACTTGCTTGAGTCCTTACCGGGGACGCTATGGAAACGGCAACGGGGCTTGACTTTTGTGTCGGACTTGGGACAGTTTTGAGCGGCGATGTTAACGTATTCGCTTCTGAAATCCTTGGTTTCGTCTCAGTTTTTGAGTCTTTAGCTTCATCACGGTTTTGTACTTTTTTGGATTGGTCCTCCGTTGCGACGTTGGACGTTTTCTTTTCCTCTTCCTGTTTTTTACCACTTTGCGATTGCTCCGTAACGTCCATTGCGTCACTGCTAATTTTTTCGTCCAGTCTAGGTTTTTTTGCCACGATAACGTCATCTTTTTCAACAGCAACTTTTGATTTTTCTCTCTCTCTTTGGTCAACAATTACTGGTTTAAAGTCTTTAGGTGCTTTATCTGCTTCCTCGTTTTTTTCTTGTTTTAATTTGTCTTTCTGGGAAGTTGGCGAGGGCAGCGGCGAGCTTCTTTTGGCTAACGTCGGGCTGAGAGGAAGCACAGTTTTGCTTTCCGAATGCACCGCTAACTTCTGCGGCGTAGCGTTCGCGTTTTGGAGTTGGCGGCCAGAAGACAGGGCGATGATCTGCAGTTGCCGCGCAGCAGAGGGGGACCGCTCGAAACAAGGGGAGGTAGGGGGCGGTCCCGGGGAGAGGAGGGACTGGGTTTTGAGTCCCGAGACCGACCGGTTTATGGAGGTGGGCGAGGACACGGTGGAGGTGGTGGGCGGAGCGGCAGCAGCGATCGGGTGGAATGGTTTTGGAGTCGGAGTCCGGAGTCCGTTTGGAGAGAGAAGTCTGGGTCTCAGAGGCACAGCCCGGACGGGAGAGTACAGGGCTGAAGGACAAAAAGAGAATAAAAGAATTAAAAAAGAATTAAAAAGTGGAGCAGGTGACAACATTTTCCTGAAGATAATTTTGAGACAAGAAATGTGCATTTGATGTCTTGGTTGATGTTTAATCTGTGTATCATTCGTTCATTCGTTTTTCAAAATAAAACCAACGAAAAAACAAAAATTTTCTTCATTATTTGTCTCCAAAACCAAAATGAAAAAACAGATAATGATTTGTTTTTTCAGTTTTCGATTTTGTGTTTCAATGAATAATGGAAAAAAACAGATAACGGACATATCTCGTTTCCGTGACTTAAACTGCGATGCCGAAGTTTTACGCCACATACAGACTGAACTAGGACTAAACCGTTTTCAGTCCTGGTCTGGTCCCGGTCTGGTCCTGGTCTCAGTCTCGGTCTGGTCCTGGTCTAGTCCCGGTCTCAGTCCCAGTCTCAGTCCTGCTCTCAGTTCTGGTCTGGTCCCGGTCTCAGTCCCGGTCTTAGTCCTCGTCCTGTTCCCGGTCTGTGTTCCCGGTCCCGATTTCAGTGACTTAAACTGCAATGCCGGACTTCTGCACCGCATACAGACTGAACCAGGATTGAACCAGGTCTGGGACCAGACAGGAACCAGACTGGGACTGAGGCCGGGATTGAGGCCGGGACTGAGGCCGGGACCAGACCGGGACCGGGACCGAAAACGGTTCTAGTCCTGGTTTAATCCTGTTTTAGTCCTGTTTTAGTCCTGATTCAATCCTGGTTCAGTCCGTACATGGTGCAATAATCCTGCATCACAGTTTAAGTCACAAAAACAGGAAACATCTGTTATCTGTTTTTTTCCATTATTCATTTAAACACAAGATCGAAAAACTGAAAAAACGAATCTTTATCTGTTTTTTCATTTTGGTTTTGGAGACAAAAAACAAAAAAACAAAGCAAAACAAAAAAACATTATTATAAAATTCTCAAGTTTGCCTAGAGCCCCCAAATTGCAAACTCCACCACTGCTTTAAGTCATGTTATAATGTTGTTACCTCATAAAAAAAAAAATTTATTTGTGTTTTGTTTCATTCACACATGTCTGAGTAACACTTTATTATTAGTCTGTGTACATCTCCAAAGCTCAAAACGCTCTGTTCCACTTTGCGATGTCATGAAGCGGTAGTTTTCAAGACAACAGCTCCTTTTACCTTTAGTTAAGAAGAAATTGGCAATTCCACGTCTGAAATTATTCAAATGATTTCAGTGAAAGTGTCTGGAGTTTAATAAAACAGTGGAGCACTTCCTGTATTGCCACACAACATCACAAGGCAGAGCAAAGTGTTTTTCTGTTGGAGAGAAAAACTCAAAATATGCAGAGTTTGTGTGATAAACATGTGTGAATGAAACAAAACACAACTTCCGTGTTTTTGAGGAGGAAACAACATTATAACCGCATAAAAGACACTCTTTAGCCACAAAAGTGCAGAAATATCAATCCATAACCATATTTAAAAAGAATCAGATCTGTTCTTTTAGTATAAACTACAGTAACAATTAAGCATTTTTTACTAAACGACAACAAATATCTATTTATCCCACGTGAGCTGCAGAATACTGATACTTTGCAGTGACGTCATGCTGGGGGTGTCATGGTTCATGTTTTGTAGTGGTTGTAGTTTGTGTTTTATTTTGACATTTGTCCTGTCACCTTGTATTTTTGAGTTTTACTTCCTGTCTTGATTGTTTGCCCCGCCATAATGTGTTTCACCTGTGTCTATGTGTGTGCATTTATACCCTGTGTTCTCCTCTGCCCTTGGTTGGTCCATTGTCTCTGTCCGGGTTTTCTCCGTGTCTCTTGTCATGGCAATTTAGTCTTGAGTTTTGGATTTTTTGATTTGTCATTAAATATTTTTTTGAAGCAGTCCTGCGTTTTGGGTCCTCCCTCTGTTTCCACGTGACAGAACTGAGGTGGAATGACCCTCTATCCAGTCCTCGTATTGTTCGCTGGTGCTAAGCTAGTGCATGTCAATGGCCATAGTTATCCTGCCACTAAAAACAGTCTTACCCACTCCACAAAACACCCGAAGCAAATCTTTTATTACACCAGACTGTTGATATAAACGTCTGTGTTGACAGAATAATGTTTGAAATAAAACTAATCTTGCATCGCCCCAAATCGTCGCATGTTGAGGGACTATTTTCCCATATATCACTCCGCCGCTGCCAAACTTTCTATCAGGAAGTACAACTCACTGTTGCTCAGACATAAATCCTTCAAATACAAGGTTGTTTTTTCTTCTAAAATTATTCTATCAACAGTCTGGCATAAAAACAGATTTGCTTCGGGCGTTTTGTGGAGTGGGTAAGACTGTTTTTAGTGGCATTTTTTTAGCCACATGCCTGCTTTTTTTTTTATTGAGCAAACAAGAATAGAAAGAAATTGACAAAAACAAAACAAAAACAAAACAAAGAACACTGGGTAACCACACCATAATCTTACACACACTCAGTAAAGAGGAACGTACTTGGTGGCGGGACGGAGAGGTGGCGGCTGGGCGTGCTCGTGGTGGTGGTGGTGCTGTCGGTGGTTGTCGTGGTGACCGGGCGCGGCCTCAGGGGCGGGAAGAGCGCGGTCTGCGGGCGGGACAGCGGCGGGGGCGGGGCCACGGAGGAGGAAGTGGACGAGGGAGGTTTGAGACGCAGTGACGGGGGGATGGTGAGCGCTCCGGGCGGAGGAGGACGCAAAGTCAAACTCTGTAACTGAACACAAAACAGAAAAATTAGACATGTTAAGAAATATTTATCATTTTAAATCGACTCTTATGAGCTTTAAGTCATGTTAAAATGCTGTTACCTCCTCAAAAACAAACCTGGAGTTGTGTTTTGTTTGAGTAACTTTAAATATTTGTCTTTTTACATCTCCAAAGCTCAAAATGTTCCACCTTGATGTCTACATTTTACCTTAAGTTCAGTAAATATTTCGAATTCCAGGGCTGAAATCGTCCAAATGATTCTAGTGAAGGTGTGTGAACTTTAAAAACACAGTGGAGCTTTTTCTGGATAACCACAAGGTGCGAGTGTTTGCTGTTTGAGAGAAAACTTTCACTCCTGACTTTATATTTTGCATCATTCATGCTGTCAAAAGGATAAAGAATTGGCTTTTTTAATCCGTGTATCATTTGTTCATTTGTTTTTCAAAATAAAACCAAAAATAAGAAAACAAAAAAAACTTAAATTTTCTTCATTATTTGTCTCCAAAACCAAAATGAAAAAACAGATAATGATTCGGGGTTTTTTTTTTCAGCTTTCTATTTTGTGTTTAAATGAAAAATGGAAAAAACGAATAACCATTTCCCACTTACGTGACTTAAACTGTGATGCCGAACTGAACAAGGATTGAACCAGGACTAAAACAGGTCCAGCACCAGATCGGGACCAGACCAGGACTGAGACCAGGACAGACTGGGACCAGACCTGGACCAGAACTGAGATCAAGACTAAGACAAGGAACAGGACCAGGACTGAAAGCCGGGACTGAAAGCTGGGACTGAGACAGGGACCAGACCGGAACCAGACCAGGACTGAGACCAAGACCAGACCAGGACTGAAAACGGTTTAGTCATGGTTTAGCCCTGGTCCATATTACGCTTTTTTTAAATCAATGTTATCACGTTTCCTCATCACAAACAGACCTGGAGTTATCTCTCAAATGGAAAACACTCTGTTCCACCTTGTGATGTCATCTGGTGATACAGGAAGTGCTCCACTGTGTTTTTAAAGTCCGTACGCCTTCACTAGAATCATTTGGATGATTTCAGATCTGGAATTGACGATCTCTACTGAACTAAAAGTAAAAATGTAACTCCTAACTTGAACACTACCATTTCATGACATCACAAGGTGGAACGGAGCATTTTGAGCTTTGGAGACGTAGACAGACTAATAATAAAGTGTTATTCAAATGTGTAAATGAAATAAAACTCAACTCCAGGTCTGTTTTTGAGGAGGAAACAGCATTTTAACATGACTTAAAGCTCATAAGAGTCCATTTCATGTAATATTGACTCTTTAAAACGATAATTATTTCTTTACGTGTCCCATTTAAAATTAAGTCTTATAAAAAACAATTACTCAAACATGTAAGAATGAAACAAAACTCAAACTCCAGGTCTGTTTTTTGAGGAGGGAACGACATTATAACATGGTTTAAAACTCACACGTCAGTTTTATGTAAGATGGGACCTCTTAAAAAATCGTCAAACTGGAAAAACGAGTGTGAACGTCGTCTTAAAAAAACGCAAATACCTCCAAACTTATATATCGGCCGAACTCCCCTCCCCGCCCGACGTAGTCAAAAGAAGCACCCGCCCAATCTGGCAACACCGGGCATGTGTTATTTAAACATTAAAGCTTTTCCAAGAATGTTACACAATACGGCATTAAACTTATCTATCCTGGCATTGAACTTATCTACCTTGAAACAAACAAGAACTTTTACTCCTGCAGAGAGCTTCGAGTGGAGTCACCTCTGCACAGATCTGACTGGTAACTCGGTCTGGCGACAGGCAGGCGATGCACCGTGCTCGTCTCCGTGGAGATAGACGTGTTTAATGTCGTACTGTGGGACATTCGTGGGAAAAAGCAATGACATCTCCCAAGTGGCGTACCAAGCCATGTGTCATTCGTTCATTTGTTTTTCAATATAAAACCAAAAATAACCAATGTTTTCTTCATTATTTGTCTCCAAAACCAAAATGAAAAAAACAAATAATGATTTGTTTTTCCAGTTTTCGATTTTGTGTTTAAATGAATAATGGAAAAAACGGATAACGACCGTTTCCCGTTTTTGTGATTTAAACTGCAATGACGAACTTTTACTCCACATATGGACTGAACAAGAACTGAACCAGGACTAAAACAGAACTAAACGAGGACTAAACCGTTTTCAGTCCTGGTCTGGTCTCAGTCTCAATCCTGGTCTGGTGCCAGTCTCAGTCCTGGTCTGGTCCCGGTCTCAGTCCGGGTCGTGTTCCTGGTCTCAGTCTTGGTCTCAGTTCTGGTCTGGTCCCGGTCTCAGGCCCGGTCTCAGGCCCGGTCTCAGGCCCGGTCTCAGGCCCGGTCTCAGGCCCGGTCTCAGTCCTGGTCTCAGTCCTGGTCTGGTCCCGGTCTGGTTCCGGCCTCAGTCCCGGTCTCATTCTTGGGTTGGTCCCAATCTAAGTCCTGGTCTCAGTCCTGGTCTCGTCCCAGTCTCAGTCCCGGTCTCAGTTCTGGTGTCAATCCTGGTCCTGTTCCCAATCTCAGTCCTGGTCTCAGTCCTGGTCTCAGTCCTGGTCTCAGTCCTGGTCTCAGTTCTGGTCTCAGTTCTGGTCTCAGTTCTGGTCTAAGTCCCGGTCTGGTTCCAGTCTGGTCGGACCTGGTTCAGTCCTGGTTTAGTCCTGCATCACAGTTTAAGTTAAGTTTAAATGAATAATGGAAAAAACAGATAATCTGTTTTTTACATTCTTCATTTAAACCCAAAATCGAAAACTGAAAAAACAAATCGTTATCTGTTTTTTCATTTTGGTTTTGGAGACAAATAATGAAGAAAATAGTAGTTTTTTTGGTTTTCTTATTTGTGGCTTTTATATTGAAAAACAAATGAACGAATGATACACAGATTCAAACCCTCCACTAGAAAAGTCACATAGTGCAGCTTTAAAATTAACCAACTGTAAAATAAAGATCCACGTGTATCATATTTTTTATCACGGCAGTTTTCGTTGGTGCAATTATCAAACCGCAAAGGCTCAAATTAGGTTTAGAAAAATCTTGTAATTGTCGTTCAGACCTGCACAAACATGTTCTGAAACACACTGGGCTCTGGTTTCAGTTTGTCAGTTTTCTTCTCTCAAATCTTAAAAAGGCACATTGTGTAACTTTTCTGATGGCGGATTTGTCATATATTTCTTTAAATATGGAGATGTTATTGCTTCGTCTGGAAATGTTTCACAGTATGGCATTAAACCTTTCTACCCAGACCAAGTTACAGGTCAGATCTGTGGAGAGGCGACCCAAATATTTTTGAGCCATAAAACCACCTGTAATTGAATAAATGTAAAGGTGGAGCTGTTTAATGTCGTCAGTGTTGGGGAGTAACAGATTACTTGTACTGGAGTTATGTAATCAGAGTACAGATTATGAGTAACTGTATTCAGTTACAGTTACTGTTTCAGTGAGTGGTATTTGGATTACAGTTACTTTGTTGGAATAAATGGATTACACAGCGATATGTTCCTGTTTTCACATTTTGGGCTAAACCAGGACTAAACCAGGACTAAACAAGGTCTAAACCAGGATTTAACCAGGACTAAAACCAGGATTAAACCAGGACTAAACCAGGACTAAACCAGGTCTAAACCAGGTCTAAACCAGGATTTAACCAGGACTAAACCAGGACTAAACTAGGTCTAAACCAGGACTAAACCAGGTCTAAACCAGGTCTAAACCAGGTCTAAACCAGGATTTAACCAGGACTAAAACCAGGATTAAACCAGGACTGAAACCAGGAGTAAACCAGGACTAATCCAGGTCTAAACCAGGTCTAAACCAAGTCTAAATCAGGTCTAAATCAGGTCTAAATCGGGTGTATACTAGGTCTAAACCAGGTCTAAACCAGGATTTAACCAGGACTAAACAAGAACTAAAACCAGGATTTAACCAGGACTAATCCAGGTCTAAACCAGGTCTAAACCAGGTCTAAACCAGGTCTAAACCAGGACTAAACTAGGTGTAAACCAGGTCTAAACCAGGACTAAACTAGATCTAAACCAGGTCTAAACCAGGACTAAACTAGGTCTAAACCAAGTCTAAACCAGGTCTAAATCAGGTCTAAATCAGGTCTAAACCAAGTCTAAACCAGGACTTAACCAGGACTAAACCAGGTCTAAACCAGGACTAAACTAGGTCTAAACCAGGTCTAAACCAGGACTAAACCAGGTCTAAGCAATATGACACTAACAGTAGGTGGACATAATTTAAAGCAGCAATGATCTCATATAGAAATCATTTCTCTATCAATAATATTTTTAATCTGGTCCAGGAAAGTCTGGCGTTTTTATTTTCTTTTAGCAGATAAAACTTCTTATGTTCAGATCCTCGTCTTTGCTTCTCTACAACAAACAAAAGTCTGTTCATGAAGATTTGGGCTCAAGAGCCAATTTGAAGAAAACAAACAAGACTTTTCAGGATGTGGTTGGTACATTCCTGTAGTTTTAAAAAACATGAGAATTTATCAAGTAATCCAAAGTATTCAGATTACATTACTCACTTTAAGTAATTTAATGGATTCTGTTACAAACTACATTTTGGTGTATGTAATCTGTAATCTGCAGGGGAATACATTTTAAAAGTCACCTTCCCAACACTGAAAGTCATACTGTGGAACATTCTAGGCATAGCAATGACGTATCCATAGCAACAAGCAGGTGACGGACCCTCCACCAGAAAAGTGACACAGTGCGTCGCAATATTTGTCTGAAAAATTGCAATTCTACTTTTCTTTTTTTTTTCTTTTTCAGAATCGTGCAACTCTAAAAGGAATCCTTACATTTAAAGCTGCATTGTGTAACTTTTCTGGTGGAGAAACCAGCTTGTCACCTTCTTGTTTCTATGGATACGTCAATGTTCCACAGTGTGACTTTAAACAGCTCTACCTCGAATTTATTCAATTCCAGGTGGTTTTTGTCGCTCAAAAATACAAAAAAGAAACCGGTTTTCTGAAAAAGCAATAACGTCTCCACGGAGAAAAACATTTGACGGACCCTCCAGCGGAAAAGTTACACAGTGCGGCTTTAAAACGGCATGCAGAGACAGCGGCTCACCTGGGCAGAGGCGGGAGTGGAGGGGGAGGAAGAGGAGGAAGAGGAAGGTCTCATAGCAGACGTGAGGATCAGCTTCAGAGGAAGACACAGGACCAAGACAAGACCAAGACCAGAACCGGACCAGAACCAAGACCAGACCAGAAAAAGCCACCAAAGACCAGAGACCAGAGGGAGACCAAACAGAGGAGAGGGTTAAAGCCAGGGAGAGACAGAACCGAGCAGAAAGCAGGAACAGAGGAAGAGAAAAGAGGGAGGAGCATAAGGATTATCTTTTTGTCTCTAAATCCGTCGTTTTTTCTTGTTATCTACAGTTTGAGAATAAAATAAAAGATATAATATTTAGTTTTTAATTGTTTTTAGTCATTACTCGGTGGCAACGGTCGCAATTTTCCATAAATCTAAAACCCACGGATATGCTGCTGTATTCAAGTTCTAGAAAAAAGTGTTTTCAAACCCAATTTTAACACAGGCAAAATTAAAGATGCACTACGTAACTTTTCTGATGTTCTTGCGCACGTCCGTGAACTTACAAATATCGAGGAAATTATTTACACTTAAAGGGCCCATATTACGCTTTTTTAAAATCGATGTTATCATGTCGTTTCCTCGTCACAAACAGACGTGGAGTTGTGTTTTTGTTTCTTTCGTAAATGTTCAGCACAGAAATCCTGCATGTTTAGGCTTCATCAGACTCTGTTCCACCTTGTGATGTCATGCCGTGATACAGGAAGGGCTGATTTCAGACCTGGAATTGACGATCTCTACTGAACCAAAGGTAAAAATGTAACTCCTAACTTGAACACTACAGCTTCATGACATCACAAAGTGCACCAGAGCATTTTGAGGTTTAAAATGTAGACAGAATAATAATAAAGAGTCACTCAAACATGTAAGAATGAAACAAAACACAACTCCAGGTTTATTTTTGAGGAGTAAACGATGTTATAAACCAGGTCTAAACCAGGACTAAAACCAGGTCTAAACCAGGACTAAAACCAGGTCTAAACCAGGTCTAAACTAGGATTAAACCAGGACTAAAACCAGGACTAAATCAGGACTAAAACCAGGTCTAAACCAGGACTAAAACCAGGTCTAAACCAGGTCTAAACTAGGATTAAACCAGGACTAAAACCAGGACTAAATCAGGACTAAAACCAGGACTATGCCAGGTCTAAACCAGGTCTAAACCAGGACTAAACCAGGTCTAAATCAGGTCTAAATCAGATGTAAACTAGGACTAAACCAGGTCTAAACCAGGCCTAAACCAAGATTAAACCAGGATTAAACCAGGACTAAAACCAGGACTAAATCAGGACTAAAATCAGGACTAAACCAGGTCAAAACCAGGTCTAAATCAGGTCTAAAAAAAGGTCTAAACCAGGTTTAAACCAGGTCTAAACCAGGACTAAAATCAGGTCTAAACCAGGACTAAACCCAGGACTAAAACCAGGACTAAACCAGGTTAAACCAGGACTAAAACCAGGTTTAAACCAGGACTAAACCAGGTCTAAACCAGGTCTAAACCAGGTCTAAACCAGGTCTAAACCAGGACTAAACCAGGACTAAACCAGGACTAAAACCAGGACTAAACCCAGGACTAAAACCAGGACTAACCCAGGACTAAAACCAGGACTAACCCAGGACTAAAACCAGGACTAACCAGGACTAAAACCAGGACTAAACCAGGTCTAAACCAGGACATAACAACATTATAACACGTTTTAAAGCTCACATCAGTTTTATGTAAGTTGGGACCTTTTAAAAAAAATCACCAAACTGGAAAAACGAGTGTGAACGTCGTCTTAAAATAAAAACGTAAATATCAGCCTATTTCTACCCCCACCAGAAAAGTTACACAGTGTATCTTTAGTACGTTTAGTGATACTGTCGTGTGATTTTGTTTACCATCTGCGCCCGGAGCAGCACTTGGTCCTGCCCCGTCCCTCTGAGGCCTTTCCCCAGGAGCAACGTCTGCTGGGACACTCTCTGACGGACAGGTGCTGCGTTCTGATTGGCCCGAGCCAGACCAGGTGAGCCCACAGGAAGAGACTGAGACACCTGACACACACGGAGAGAGAGGGGGGGGGGGGGGGGAGTGTACAGAGAGAGAGAAGGAGAGAGGGGGATGGGTGATGAAGTGGTTGGGAGAGAGAGAGAGAAAGGATGAAAATAAAGAGGGTGAGAGAGAAGAAGGGGGTTGAGAGGGAGAGAGAGAGAAAGAGAGAGAGAAAAAGAGAGAGAAAGAGAGAGAGAGGAAGAGAAAGAATGAAAATAAAGATGGTGAGAGAGAAGAAGGGGGTTGAGAGAGAGAGAGAGAGAAAAGAGAGAGAGGGGGAGAGAGAGAGAGAAAAAGAGAGAAAAATAGAGAAAGAGAGAAAGGATGAAAATAAAGATGGTGAGAGAGAAGAAGGGGGTTGAGAGAGAGAGAGAGAAAGAGAGAGAGAGGAAGAGAAAGAATGAATATAAAGATGGTGAGAGAGAAGAAGGGGGTTGAGAGAGAGACAGAGAAAGAGAGAGACAGAGGGAGAAAGAGAGAGAGAGAGAAAGAGAGAAAGGATGAAAATAAAGATGGTGAGAGAGAAGGGGGTTGAGAGAGAGAGAGAGAGAGAGAGAGAAAGAGAGAGAGAGAGAGAGAGAGAAAGGATGAAAATAAAGATGGTGAGAGAGAAGAAGGGGGTTGAGAGAGAGAGAGAGAGAGAGAGAGAAAGAAAGAAAAGAGAGAGAGAGAGGTTGAAATTAAAGACAGTGAGCGAGGGAGAGAGAAGAAGGGAGAGAGGAAGGGGAAGCGAGAGAGAAAGGGTGAGAGGATGAGAGAGGGAGTCACGGAGAGACGGGGGGTATAGAAAGGGTGACAGAGGGAGAGAGAGAGAGAGAGAGAGGGTATGGGGAGAGAGAGGAGTAAAATGAAAGAGGTGAGAGAGGGAGAGAAAGAGTAAGATGAAAGAGAGCGAAAGAGCGAGAGAAGGATGTAGAGTAAAAATGAGAGGGAAAGAGAAAGGTTAAAAGAGGGTTAGGGTGGGTTAGAGGAGGGAGAGAAAGACAAAGAAAGAGAAAGAGTGAAGAGGAGGAGAGTTTATTAAAGCAGCATTTCTCAACCTTTAAACACTTTTATTCACTTAAACAAGGCCAAAGAAAATATCACATTCAATCGTCTTTTGTCTTTTTAAAAACACTGAACTCTGCTCTGAGGGACGACGGGGATTTTTATAATAATACAAAAGAAAATACTTTGATTTAACGTTGAAAATTACTCTATTATTCTATCGATTCTATTGTCAAATAAAGCCTGTTTTTATTTTCGGTATTGAGTATCAAGTGCGTCAAACGATCTCCAAATTCATATAATCGGAGTTGAAACGATTTAAAGCTTATTTGGGGATATTTTTTACATAAATAAGTATATTTATTAGATTTTTTTCAATATAGAGATTGTAGAACAGCTGGATATATAGTTTATTTTGGATACATTTATGTTTTTTATGCTTTATTTCATGTTCAAAGTTTATTTTATTCATTTTATGTGTTATACATGACAAAATTGCTCTAAGGTTCATATTTGTAGCCTGAATTTATTTAAGTTTTGCATAAATTATCAATAACAAAGTGTATTTTTTAGAGATAGAAATGCTGAATAAATGCATCGTGTAACTAAAAAATAATCGTTTGAATAATCGTGATTTTAATATTGACCAAAATAATTCGTGATAATGATTTTTTCCATAATCGAGCAGTTCTAGTATCGAGTCTACTCCTTAGTATTAGGGATGTAACAGTAACCGAAATATTGTGATATCGTATCGTCAAAGTTCTCACAATAATATCCTGGACCATCACAATATATCGAATCACAAGTGTCTTTGTTTAAATTAAGAGTTATGGTGCAGCAATAGCTAAAAAAAACTAGGGAACTACATAGACCATGATCCTTTGCTCCATTTCAGTGCAGACTACAAGAAGAAATAACAGTTCTAAACACTTTTAAGTCTTAGTTTTTTGGATTAAGTCTTGTCAGGGCATTTTAAGAGGAAAAAGAAGCATATTAACTGTTTAGCCTCAACAAAATATTGCAATAAATATCGTACCGTGAGCTTCATACCGTGACGATATCGTATCGTGAGACTTGGATATCGTTACACACCTACTTAGTATTGAAATCAAGCTTGAAATTTTAGTATCGTGACAACACCAGTATGTACAAAATAAAAATATGTATTCAAGGTTTCAGCTTTTTGTTATAGGTGACATATTTATTTATAATTTTTTAAAGGTATTACGTTACATTCTGATCTACAGTGTCTTATAATGTTGTTTTCTTGTCAAAAACAGACCTGGAGTTGTGTTTTTTTGTTTCATTCACACACGTTTACCACACAAACCCTACATGTTTAGGCTTCAGAGTTCTTCTCTCAAACAGAAAACGCCCTGTTCCAACTTGTGATGTCATGTGGTGATACAGGAAGTGCTCCACTGTGTTTTTAAACTCCGTACACCTTCACTAGAATCATACGGACGATTTCAACTCTGGAATTGCCACACTCTACTGAACAAAAGGTCAAAGATAGCTGTCCTTTCTTTTTATGTATTTATTTATTTACTTACTTTATTTATTTATTTATTTATTTATTTACTTATTTTATTTATTTATTTATCTATTTACTTATTTTATGTATTTATTTACTTATTTTATTTATTTATTTATTTAGTTATTTATTTTATGTATTTATTTGTTGTTGTTATTTTATTGTTGCTTGTTTTGTTTCATTTTTTTGCATGTTTATTTTGCGCTGCATCCCTTCAAAATGACAAAAAATACAAATAAAAAAAACTTGTAAACTCTCACTTCATGACATCACACGGTGGAATAGAGCATTTTGAGCTTTGGAGATGTAAACAGACTAATAATAAAACAAAACACAATGAAAAAGTGAAACAAAACACAACTCCAGGCCTGTTTTTGAGGCGGTAACAAAGCTCACAAGAGTCAATTCTGCTTAATATAGCTCCTTTAAATCCTTAATTAACTCACAAAGCTCCTAATTTATCATCAATCTAAAGTCCATGAATATTTTTGTTTTCTTATTGTGCAGCTCTACCTCAAACGCCCTCTAATTAAACAGATGGTAATGTTGAATTTATTCTCACACAGATAAAAGGACCGAGACCAGGAAGTGCGTGCGGTGAAGGCGCGCAGAGTGAAAACAGGAGCCTCAAACCCAAACCATTATTTCTATATTGTTCGCTATCGCTGCCTTTAACCACAGCCGCCCTGAGTCTGTGCACAGGCCAACTGTAGCCGGGGGGGGGAAAAAAACGCGACGTGATAAAACCTCAAAATGGACGCTCGCGATTTGAATAACAAAGCGTGTAGTCGGTTTAAATCTAACGTACATGAGCGCAGAAGAAAGTTTAAAGGGCCCGTGTGACGCCGTTTCTGATCTGTTATAATCTTGTTTCCTGCTGGAGTTTGTGTTTTGTTTCATTCGCACGTGTTTAATCAGTGTTTAGGAGTAACAGATTACAAGTACCGGAGTTACGTAATCAGAGTACTAATTCTGAGTAACTGTATTCGGTTACAGTTACTTTGTTGAAATAAATGGATTACGTGGTCATATTTTCATGTTTTCACATTTTGGGCTAAATTCCTTTTTTTTTTTTCTGTAATTCCACTCATTGCTGGACATTAAACCAGGTCTAAACCAGGTCTAAACCAGGACTAAACCAGGTCTAAACCAGGACCAAACCAGGACTAAAACCAGGACTAAAATAGGACTAAACCACAATTAAACCAGCACTAAACCAGGACTAAACCAGATCTAAACCAGGACTAAAACCAGGACTAAACCAGGACTAAACCAGGACTAAACCAGGAGTAAAACCAGGACTAAACCAGGACTAAACCAGGACTAAACCAGGACTAAACCAGGAGTAAACCAGGAGTAAAACCAGGACTAAACCAGGACTAAAATAGGACTAAACCAGATCTAAACCAGGACTAAAACCAGGACTAAAACAGGACTAAAATATTACTAAAACAAGGACTAAAACAGGACTAAAACAGGATTTAACAGGACTAAACCATGCTGTGCGGACTGTGTCCTCCTCTTCTATCAATAATATTTTTAATTTGGTTAAGTAAAGTCTGGGCTTTTTTATTTTCTTTTAACAGAGAAAACTTCTTATGTGACGATATCCTCGTCTTTGCGTCTCTACAGCAAACCAAGTAAGAAAATATCGTACCGAGAGATTTGGATATTGTTACATCCCTAATCGTGAGCCTCCCCACAAAATATCGCAATAAATATCCTACTGTAAGGTTGATATCGTGACAATATCGTATCGTGAGACTTGGATATCGTTACATCCCTAGTAAATGAGCCATGCAGTTTTAAGTTTAGTTTCTGTAAAACGTAAACAAATGAGCGCAAAACTGAATTAAACACATTATAATCTCAAACGGGCTGATGTGGCTCGATAGTCTTTATGCTTTAAATGTTGTAAAGTTTAGTAATGTAAAGTTTATTTATGCAGAAGACTTTAATTAATAATCTGCTGCAGTGTAACATGTACAATAGTGTTTGGAAATGTTCGGTTTGATCTGCGCAGTGGATTGTGGGAAACTTCAGAGCTTCTGCCCACTGGTTAGTAACATAGATTTATTAAAATAAGGAACCTCCCACGCTTCCTCTGCTAAAGGAGCTAATGTTATCGTACAGTTCACAGAGTTGCAAATATGAGCTTGAGCTGAGTTGATGTATTTTTGAATGAAAAGAAGGAAATATGTTTTATTTCTTCCTTTATTTTACAGTTAAATGATTATTTTTTTATGTCACAGAAGCACTTTGTTCCTACATGAACTGCCTCTTTGTGCTTCAATAAAAACGGCCTTGTTGAATTTGGCATATTTGTTTCTGCGAGGTTATTTTTCCTGTACAGATATCAAAATTTATCCAGATATATTTTTTGCTCCATATCGCCCAGCTCTAGTTGGGTGTCACTGATGACCAAATTGGGAGAAATGGGGATAAATTCTGATGTAAATTGATGATTAAAAAAATGTG